GGGGGGAGAGCAAAGAGAGAAAGCAGTTTGGAATTGGAGGGTTTTTAGTTTTGTCCACTTCGATATGCATAACATACAGAATTATATGGGGGAGAAAAAGAGGCGTCGGCTTAGTCTCGAGCAACGATTTAAAAAACACCGGGTCCGCACGGAATACCCCATCGCTCATCCTATGCCGATTTCTCGATATATAAGAAATCGTTTCGGCGATTTGCTACAGTCAAACAACGTTTTGCTACCGTACAAATATAGTTTTGTTATAGGAAAAATGTCGATTCACCACATTTGACCGGTTCTTGACCGATTTTGGATCGCGGATTCACCATTTTGGATCGGTTTTTGCGAAGCCTGGTCGTAGTCACTACTCTGTTTGTTAAATCACCGGTCTAGATAATAGAGCACCCATACTATGTTCCCCTAGGGTATGATTTGTACAATGCTGCGGTTCTAACCAATCAAAGTAAGGTGCACCTTCAAATAGTACCGAATTATGTTGTTAAAATATTATGAATCTTTCTCATTGCTTGAAAATTTTTTTTTATCTCTAATTATAAAAATTAAGTATTAAAAAATATTGCAGATCGAGCACATTTATTAACACTTGAAAATTTTAAATATTGGTAGTCTAGATTATATATTACGAGCTGCCTATTTCCAATACTTGAAATCTATTGTTTCTCATGTCTATACATCTTGAGAGCGAGATGATCAAATTGAGGGGTTTTTTTAGCACAGAAACAATCTCTTCTAGTTAATTTTTTATGTGCGCTTTTATTTGATTGTTTAAGGCCTCATCTTACATAAACTTTTTCCGTTCCCTAGCAGCAAAATGTGCGGTTACTCCCTCGATCAATAGACCTAGCAATGGGCTAGGGTGCCAGCCCGATTCGGATTGATCTAGGTGCCACATCTTGACGTCCAGAGTTCTATTTCTACCAAAGTCTTGAGTTTTTTTTTTTTTTTGGTAAATCAGTTGGAGAGAATGCCTCCTACCCATTTTTCATTAATTAACAATCAAAGAAAAACAACTTATTACTTTACAACTCTTATATAGAGGGCAGATGTGCGAAGTAAATGAAAAAAAATCCTATTGAGGTCCTATTTTGACGTTATAAGAAAATAAAATGAAATGTTTTTGGAAAATGAAGTATTTTTTGTATAGCTATGGGATTAGGTTCTAGGAATCAGATTTATACATGCCTAATAGATGGACAAATCCTCATTTCCAAATTCCTTATTGAGATATTTATGAAATTAATTTTAAGTCACAGCTTATGGGAAAAAGCTTACGTGCTCCTGTGGAGTTAAAATGTACACTTGCTCAGGCAAGCAAAAACCTATTTAGGAGGAACTTTTCCACTCCAAGGATGATCTCTGCTTTCAATGACCGATTTATACAAAAAAAAAAAAAAAGAGCCGCTCGTATGTCATGGTCACTCAATAGCACACTGCATGCTTACTGGCTAGCCTTCCTAGGAGGACATATTTATTGGAAATTTTGGTAACCTAAGAATCACATGATTGTTATTTTTAAGCTGAAAATTTTAGATTTTGAGCTCTTTGAGGATTAAACGGCACTTTCAAAAATTGGATGGTCTCCATTCAATCTTGAGGTAAAATTTTCTCGCAATATGAAATTGTTTTTTCTTTAAATGTTTGAAACATAAGATTGTTTATTTGAATAAATCATTTTATTGAAAAAATATTTTTACTAAAATTTCATATCAAATACCAAATCCCCCTAGAATCAAGCAACTAGCCGATGAAATTTCACATCAAATATCAAATCCCCTACACTCAAGTCATTTAAAATGCGGAAGCACGTGTAAAATCTGCTCCCGCTTGAGCACCTTAAACGCGCCCTTCATAATTAAAAGTGTCCTTATAGTTAGGGTTTGGTGAGGCGAGTTGATTTTTGAGTTTTGAGAGAGCAAATTAAAGGGAGAAGGGGGGTTCGTTTCACGAGCGGTCAGATAGATTTGCGCTTTAAAAAGTAAATAAACCCAAACACGGACTTAGAAAGTGTTTTTGGACTCGCCCGAGTGCACTCGGATTTGGCCGAGTAACTTCGGTCTCACCCTAGTGACAAGAAGAGTTGGGTGGCCAACGTGCCAGGTCTGCAAATTCTGTAACTTCGGTCTCACCCTAGTGACAAGAAATACTAAAACATACAAAAAAAAATTAGAAAACCTCAGCGTGATAATATGTTTTGCTGAATTTGATAGCTTTTTTAGATAATTTGGGAGATATTTATTTTTTTACTTTTCTAAATTATTGAACGTAGATCCAGGTTTTCAATGAGTCCATCTTTTATACGTAGCGGTATTTTAATGGACTCTGTTACCTCTTTTTTTAAAAAAACAATTTATGTTTAATTATTTTCTATAATTTTCTACTCTTTTTTTATTTTTAATAAAATTTTCTTGAATCTAGATGACTTAGAGAGTCCACTCGAACCCAGGCTGGGTTACTTGCCTTGACCAAAGGTGAGTACCTTAGTCGAGGCAATTTAGACGATACTAAAAAGGCGCGGCTTGTATAGAGCCGAGGCTCTAAACAATCAAATTAGAGTGCACCTTTAAATAGTGTTGAGAAATGTGGTTTTAATACTATAACTTTTTGTAATAGCCTTAAAATATATTTTCATTTTTAATTATAAAATTTAAAATTTCAAAAATGACGTATATCGAGCCGATCTATAAAATATTGAAAATTGACTGTAAAAAAATGTATTTACAAGATGCACTATTTCCAAAGCTTGAAATCCATTTTTTTTCAATCTTGATGTCAAAATGATCAATTCGATGATATTTGGGCATCAACACAACCCTTTCTAGTGAAATTTTTTATGTAGGCTATAATTTGATTGTTTAGAGCCCAGGCTCTATAGAAACTTTTCCCTTACTAAAAACATAAAATTTACCGTGTCTTAAAAGCAAATCAAGGGAAAAAGACGAATATTGCGCACTAACTCCAGTGGTTGAATAGAATGCTCTCGCGTTGATGCATATAACTCATGGAAAAAAGACCAATTTTTTTATTTTATTTTTTTGGTAAGTGAGTAAAGTGATATAAGGGGGATTTGGGCCCTACCCTTTGATGAGAATAGAATTACAGACCTCACCATGGGGCTCGTCAATACTTCTGTCAAAGCACTAGGCCATTCTCAAAGTGATAAGTGAGTGAGATTTGGGCACTACCCTTTGATGAGAATGGAATCAAAGACTTCACCTTGGAGCTGGGCAATACCACCACCAAAGCCTTATGCCATTCTCGAATATTTTGATTTGAAAGTTTGAAATCCGAGAATCATTAGATAGATGATTGTCGTAAAAGATAAAATGGTTAAATTTTGAGCTCCTCGACACTTAGTTATAATTCAAAACAAGATTATATCTATTCAGCTTTGGGACATTATTTTTTCATGTAATGAATTTTACTTTATTTTATTTTTTGAGGATGTTTGTTAAATTTAATATTACATCCCAAAACCTTGGAGTCCTAAAAAAAGGGATTGTATACCATGAGACCAATTATCTTTGTTACAAAGAGGTTACAATTGTTACTAGCCATTGGATGTCAAATTAGATGGCTTGGGCTATTTAACAAATTCGGAAAAAAAAAAAATTTAAATTTGAGTTTAATCAATGATATGCTCACCACCACTTGATTTAAAATATGATGGACAATAGTGAATGTGATCTCCTTATATTTAGAAGTAAATGGTTTCTTTGTATATTTTTCCCAAAAAAAAAAACTCCCAACCAATTAATCATTGGCTTTAACCTAAGGGAGCATATAGCAGGTGCTAAATCATTTCAACTTTCAACAAAAAAAAAACACCACAAAAACAACAAAATCATACAACTTCCACTTTATTTCATGTAAACATAGCTTATACCTAACAATATAGCTTATACCTAACAATAGATCTTTTTCTCTCACAAGTGAGAATTAACCCCACAAAACCCCCTTTGGACAAGGAATTAAGAAATTGAAACAATTAACATGCAAAAACTCAAAACACACATACAACAACATAGAAAACAAGAAGCCCACATGATTACTTAGGGGGACAAAAAAAAAAAAAACACACCCCATAAAGCTAAACCACTATAGCCTTGAGGTCCCTAGGGTTGACTCGGACCATGAGCCCATTCTTCATGAACAAAGTAAGAGACATCTTTTGCTCCACCTTATGACCCGGATCGCGTTCAAGTCTATAGCGTAAAAGCACGGCCGAAGCGATCGACTTCATTTGCAAATAAGCCAAGTCTTTGCCCAAACAAATCCGAGGTCCCCCGTTAAAGGCCACGAACTTAAACGAGTTGAACCCCTCTTTGAGGGACTGGAATCGGGAGTCACCAGTCCCAAGCCAACGTTCCGGCTTGAACTCAAGGCAGTCCGGTCCCCATACCGACTCCATGCGCCCGACCGAATAGATCGAGTACGTAACGGACGAGCCAGCCGTTATCTCGGTCCCATCCGGCAAGACGTCGTCAGAAATAACGTACTTGAAATCCTGCGGGACAGACGGGTAGAGCCTCAGGGTCTCAGACAATGCGGCCTTAAGGTACACGAGCCGGTCCAGCTCTTCGAAGCTGAGCGGCTCGGCAATCCACTGGTTCGTGTCCGGTCCCCGGGATTTCGTCAAAGTCTCGGCGATTTCGGCAAGGACCTTTCGCTCGATTTCTCGGTTTCGGGTCAGGAGCCAGAAAAACCAGCTTAAGGCCACTGATGAAGTGTCTCTCCCTGCCAATATAAAATTCAAAGCTATTCTCCTTAATGCCAGATTAGTGTAGTGATTACCATTAATATCCTTCCTTTTCATGAATCGGGAGAGGAGATCGTCCCTTTCAGGCTCGGTTCCGGAAATAATCTCTTCTTTTCTTGATGCAATTATCTCAGTTAAGTAGTCATCAACCACCTTAATGCACCTGTTTAACTCTGGTTCCATGCCTAATCCAAATATTTTCTTGATTTTCCATAGAAATTCAGGGTACAGAAGCCTCTGCAGAGTGGTCTCTGTCGCTTTATCAAAAGCTCCGGAAAACGGGTTTAATGGAAAATCCGGGCTCAAAGTTTCGGGGTCCTTCCCGAAGGCTAACCCGCAGATGTTGTCGAAGGTTAGTCTCAGGAGGAGGTCCTGTAAGTTCACTGCTTTTTCCAGGGTTTGCGCTCGATCGAGGATGCACCAGAGCCGGAGCTTGATGGCCCGGTTGACCCACCGAGCCATCGAGTTCTTGAGGGTCCGGGTCGTGAACTCGAGCGCGGCGGTTTTCCTCTGGACCACCCACGATTCACCGTCACTGTTGAAGATTCCACTGCCAAGGAGGTCGTGGAAGGCCGCCTGCCAGTGGGGGCCTTTGGGGTAGTTCTCAAACCGGGTCTTGAGGATGTGTTCGAGGTTTTTCGGGTTCGCAGTTACAGTGACGAGGCCTTGTTTTAGTGAGAGAAAGGGAAGGGGGCAAATGCAGGTTTGGTAGGTTAAGGTTGGTGAGTTTTTGAGGTTGGAGGCGATCCAGTCATGGAGGCGGCGGCGGTTGAGGAAGAGAGAGGGGAGACTCCCCAGAAAGGGCCAGACTCGCGGGCCAGAGAGGCGGGCGGAGAGAGAGAGGAACCAGAGGAGGTAGGCTGAGAGGAGAGAGAGGAGGAGGAGGAGGAGGAGGAGAGAGAAAGAGTCCATGGTGAAGTGGGGGGAGTAGGTTGGTCGTTTTACTTACTCAGTTTAGAGAGGGAGAGAGTACTTTTTGCCAGACTGAGAATTATGTATGTGTTAGAGAGAGAGAGGTGCAATACTGATGGTACAATGTAGTGCGTGTGAGAGAGAGAGGGTGGGATGTAGATTATGTGAGAGATGTGTGTGAGAGAGAAAGAGGAGAGAGAGAGATCACTAACTTGAAGCAATGAGAGAGAGAGTAATGAAGAGAGAGAGAGAGAGTAAGCTTGGAGATAGAGAGTAGTAGAGTGCACCACCAAATGACAAACACCCTTTCTCTCTCTAGATTAACGTCCTTAATCAGCCTGAAACCTCAGCGTCTTCTTTGCTAATCTCATGTCTTTTCTCCCTCTAGATTATGAGGACTTCTCTCTCTCTAGATCATGGGAACATGAAATGGAATCGTTGAGATAAAAAGGTGAAGAGATGGGGAGTATAAATATGACGCACAAACACTGTTATAGTAATAGTGTAATGGTGAAGCTTCTTTGCAGGAATGAAAGTGAGGAAAAAGATAGCTGAGTTTAGTAGATTAGGCGTGGTGGTTTGGAAAATAATGAGTTTCCGCGACCGTTTGGAGTCCTGGGTGGGTGGACCTAGAGAGAGAAAATGAGTGTTTTCTTGAGGTTAGACCCAGAGAAACCATGGGGTCGTTTCTCGCACTAGAACAAAAGTGGGAGCTCTACAGAGGGAATCCCATAGATTACAAGAAGGAAAATTGTTTGATGCGGCCTGGAAGACATGACTAGCATCCATCTTTAGGTGTTCCATCCGGTCCGAATGCGTTTTTTCTAGATTTTTTATTTTTAGTTTTTAAAATTTATTTAATTTTTTCATATTCTTGATCCCATGTTAGAGATTAAATATCTTTGAAAATTAAGTCCAAAAATCCATATAAAATATAGATTTATTAAGAAGCTCCAGGCTTGATCGCATAAAAACCGGATCCCTAGAAAAAACCTGGGAATAGGGGTAGCAATAGGCCTAGGCAGGGGTGGCAATGAACTTGACCCGGTACCCTAGGGGTAGACCTGATCCAGGTCTAAGTATGTGTCCAAAAATTTGACCAGGCAAGGGATCTGAGTCTAGTAATATTTTTTTATCCTAATTTATGAAATATATTTTAAATATAATTAAATGAAATAAATTTATATAAGGTTGCAACTTTAAAATGCAAAAAATCCATTGGAAAATGTTGTTTTAATGTTAAAAACCCTCTAATGGAGCATCTCGATATCGAGATGCGTGATTATGAAAGAAAAAAGGATTTTGAGTCTCATAAGTAGTCCATCTTACAACACATTATCTAGACCGTCCATTTTCAAAATTTTCATATGTTTATAGATCTACTTGATTTTAACCATTTTTGGAGTTCAAAATTTTATAATTAGATATGAAAATAGACTTTCAGATAATCCTAAGAATATTTTACATCAAAATTATATGCTATGCTCAAATTTGAAGGTGACTCTTAATTGGATTGTTAAAAGTTGCAACCTTACGAAAACCACACCCAAATTAAATATATATAGATATTTTGATTTTTGGATGAGGGGAAAAAAAAGTCAGCCTTAACTGAACCGGGCCGGTCTTGGCCTTAGCCCCCTACTCGTTTTTTAGAGTCAGGCCATCCGGCCCATTGCCAGGCCCGCATGGGAGATCTCTCTCAAAGAGAGAGAGAGAGAGAGAGAGTGAGGATATGGCGTTTCTTGTGGGGAAGAGCAAAGGGAGTGGGGGGTTCTTGGTGAAAGGTGGACCAATAGCCATGGGAATGTTTCGTGACTTAGAGGGTGACTTATTAGTAAAAATCATGCTATCTCAACTTTCTCTTACTAAGCCTCTCGTAAAGGGCACTTCCCTTTGGAACTTTCTCTCTCTAAAGTCTAAACCAAGGCTCCCATGCTTTAAGCTTTAATAAGGTTGCAACCTTAAAGTGTAGAATCACAGATGCACCAAAAACATTTGCACCTCAAAAATATATCGGAAATATTGTTTTAATGTTGAAAAAACCTCTAATTGATCATCTCGACATCGAGATGTATGAATAT